GTTTTGCGCCCCCCTCAGTATAAAGTCTCCCCCCTGATTATTCGGTTTGTTGCAATGTCTTTCAGTACTATATTCTTTAAATAGTTATCTTTAATGTAAGGAGGGTTACTTTAAAAAATAGATTATGAAATATGGTCATAATGAATTGATATTTCAGCATATTTTATTTGGTAACTGTACCTTCCATCCTAAAATAATTATAAGACATAATCATACCAAACAAATTTGAATGAAATGACTTAATGTAACAAATACATGTACGGTTACTGTTGTAACAGAATTCAGAAATCTTATTAATCCTCGCAAACATTCGGTTTTACCACTAACTACGTAAAAACTGTCAACATATCCACGCGCGCCTCCAGCTCAGGCTGTCCGTTATACTCTGATTTAAGATCTAAAATATATTCCTTAATACAGGCTACGATTTGAAAATGGTATCAGTGTAATATCAGTGGCTAGAATATCATGGTGCAAGCAGGTTTCTGTTAAACATACAACATCATAACTATCTAATTCAGCACTGATAAAATCTACTTTGTCTTTAAGGCTGCGTACGTTTAGATATATAATCTTTAAATCTGGACTATGCAAAGGTCCTGGATTCGGATGGATATCACCGCAGCCGAAGAGAAAAAGTAAAACTAAGAATGATAATCGGAAATTAGATAAGCAAAGTAACCCAAAATATAGAGAAATGTGTATCATCTTCCCGAAATGATAAGCATGTAGAATAGATTTTAAAAAAACCCCACCCCAGCCTGTATTGAATAACATCAACCGGCATCGTCAAAGCAAAGTGTACATGTAATTGTTACAATCGGGCTGGCCGTGAATCTTAATGAAGAACACCTTGTTAAAAAGACACACCGAAACTGATTGACCACAACCATCAAAATAGTAAAAATGATACAGTATAAACTCATACTGAAGAGAAAACAAGAAAAACACAGAGAAGTAAAATAGCACGTCATATAGAAATAAGATAAAGTAATCTGAGAAGGGATTCATACGTTATATACAACTTAAAAAAATAACATTATGAAAAACGAAAGGAAAAGTGCCCCCCCCCCCCCCCCCAAAAAAAAAAAAAAAGAAAAGAAAGAAAAATACCCCGCAAAATCAATCAAAATCAAAATCAACAAATAAAAGGAAACAACCACACACACACAAGTAACTAAATGTATATTTAGATAAATATATAACCCAGAACAAATAAAGGAGAGAAAAAAATAAATAAAAAATACATTTTTTTATTAAACAAATAAACATTCAAACCTTGAGGAATATGAAAAGCCAATGTGTATGCTAAAGCAAGAAGACACGATAAACTGTACCAACATTACAATGTTCCCCGATGTGCATGCTTTACCTGGGCTACATACGGGTGATCTAAGTTAGAAATATATGACTGATATAAATTCTTTATACACGGTAATATCGAATATTCTTGGATTATCTTTTTTTTTAAAAGTGCTCCATTCAAGAAAAGTTATATAGAATTATATATTTACTCTCCCCCATGTATTTTGCTCTTTTATGTAAAAGCTTTTTCACCTTACACATTTTAATTACAGATTCCTTTGTTTTGATTTTAATGCAAACAACCCAGGCTTTTGAAATGCTATACAAAAAGTATGCTCAAAAGTTCGGCGACTTTGTTTCCATAGTGCGCGGTTTGGCGCATAAACATAAAACCAATATTTATGAGTATATAAGACTTTATCACTGTATCCAATTCCAAAATTTTAGATATAAACTTAGGACAGTTCAGTTTAAAATTCTTCAACCTTTAATTCATCACAGGATGTGTAGCTAGACGACGGGAATCTATAGTCTTGACTGTTTTCTTTGATGAGAATGTTTACGATAAGATAAACCAAAAAATGTCGGCTATCGACCTAACCATATGCACCGCAGATCTATCTCAAAGTACTCAATGGGAAGTGCACGACGTCCCGCTAGGTAGTGACCACTTCCCGATAAACATAACCATAGTAAATACAAACGTACCAATCCAAACAGAAAACCAAGAACCAAAATTCTATTACAATAAGCTAACTGGGACCAATCCCAAGATATCTGCAATGAAGCTAACTTAAACGAAATAGAAAATAATGACCCAGAAACCTATTGTAAAAACCTTACAGACTAATATATAATAAAGGCAGCCAAAACCTCCATCCCCTTCAAAACATCAGGCAAACCCACGGTACCATGGTGGAATGAGGAAATAGAACAGACTAGACGAAAACGTAAATCAGCCTTCAATAAAGCAAAACGCGACTACACACATCTAAACTTAGCCCACGAACTAAACCACCAGGTTCAGAAACTAGTCCAAATAGCCAAAAGTAGAGACTGGAAAAAATTCTGCGAATGTATAAATAACCGTACAGATGCCAGAACGGTCTGGCGCAAAATCCACGCCATTAGAGGCTTAAAACGACATAAAAAACTAACATTAACAACTCAACCAACCCCGCCCAAAAAGCAAATAATCTCGCCAACCACTTTTCGGCCGTTAGCAGTAGCACCAACTTCAGCCAAAAATTCCAAGATAAACTTAAAACAAAAAACAAACCCGCAAAAGAACCAAACAATAACAATCTAGAAATAAACCAACCCTACACAATGGAGGAGCTCCTCTACGTAATCCAAAACAGGAAAAAGGGCACAGCCCCAGGATTAGACCAAACTTCTGAACAAATAATTAAAAAAAACCACCTAAAACTATATCCTACTCCCTGGAAACAGGCCCTAGTCATACCAATCCCTAAACCTAATAAACCAGCTAATCAAGCTAACTCATATCGACCAAAATCTCAACTTCAAACTTATGCAAAGTAATGGAATCAATGGCTAAAAATAGATTACAACATTACCTAACCCAAAATAACATCAACTATTGAACTGCATGGCAAGTATTTATAAACGACCGGGGGAGGAAAAATTCTGGGGGGAGACTTTATTTCGTAGGGTGGGGGAGAGTTTATTTCGAGAGGGGCGGAACTGTACCGGTATAAATTCGCCGGGGGGAGACTTTATTTTGGGGGCGAATATATTTCGTGACACCGGCTCTGGCGCTTTGCGTCCTCGTAAAATTGCTTTTGCTAACACTTAATTTGCTCACCCTTAAGACCAGCCAAGTTGCGCCACTGACTGCTATTGTAGGGTTAATTGTGGTTCGATGTTCGTGATATTAATCACTGGATTTATTGGTCCAGATACAATTTTTACAGACGGTGTTAAACAACAAACAAACAATCTATTAACTAGTTGAAACACTTACATGACATAAGTTGCAATATCCACATCCAAGGTTTCTGTTGTTGGTCCGGATCAGGTTTTTTTTGTCACTGTCAGTGACGACCATTCACAGCCGACTTGTATGTTTGCAAGGCTATATCTCAACAGTTATGATTAGTCACCTTACCAATTGCACACTGCAGAGTTGAGCAGTCGCACCAATACATCAATTCCTACACGTATTGTGCTGGAGTTTCGGAACACAAGGCCTTGTAAAATGTCCATCCCGATTTGCCGTAAAGTTTTGCCAGTGACACAGACACAAACTCACATGTTCCATTGTCATTACTGCTATCCAGGATATTAAAGTTAAAACCATCACATGCCCACATCATTGTACATTCGATCATGCAGGTCTTCAAGCTGCCGATGATTTCATGCCTGGGTCTGGTCGTGTGATACATCTTGGTGTAGGGCACAAATGTGGACGGGGACCTCTGACTGAAACTGCAGTTATTTTCTGAAAGTGTCAAAGAAGTAATTCATATTTTCATGAAGCAACTGATCTTCATTTAGTTGTATCAGATATTATTACATCTGTGTGTGTTCCGCACTGATTTTACGAAACGATGAACTCAAAATTGCTTTGCTTTTTACGCCAAATGGAATCTGTTTCATCGGATAATCGAGACAGGTTATTCTCTGTTGTGCCGTTTAATATGTGTGATATCAAACGGTAATTGAAATTATCTTTACTAATAGTTGCATTCCAAAATATTTCATCCACTATCTCACTATCAGAGATTTTAACACGGATAAAGTAAAAAATTGGCTTCACACATTCCACCCGTGTCGGGAATCAAACCCGGGTCTTCGGCGTGACGAGCGAACGCTTTAACCACTAGGCTACCCGACCGCCCCTTATTGTTTATGAGATTGTTAAAATGCCATATAAATTAATCAAATATTTTTTTACTGCCATTTTAATTATACTCTCTTTGATGTGTGGGCCTGATATATACAGCGAGATGACATTTATGGTTTGCAACGTCAACATTATATTGTATTCAACGGTACAATAGTCCATAACAATGTTTCGTTACCCGAACAATTGCTATTCTGAACAATTGACAAGGTTTATGTATTAAACATTTAGAAAATTGTTTCGCTGACCATATATCTTTGGGTGGACTGCCACTTCACACAGGGTTAGCCGGTCCCCATCATTCAGATGTTGCCTCTTCTTTATCCGGACATATCGACCCTCAACGGGATACATGCATTTGAGAGTTTCTGTAACTGCACTCCCAAATTCCCCAAAGAAGGAATAACACATCTGACCATTTGCTTCAGGGTTTACAACTGGATCAATTGAAAATACTTCTATGTCAAAGTTGTGTAGTCGCCAGTCTGAAACCAAAATATTGTATCACAATCTAGCCGCAAATAAGCATCTGTATGATTTCGATGTCAAATATGGGGTTTCAGTAACAAAACTCGACCTCTTATTAGAGGTAAGATAACAGATTGTCACACTCTAGATTGCCTAAATCAACATAAATAGTCTATTATGATAAATAATTTTCTTTACATATCTAGTGTTGGGTAAATATATACCAAAATGTTCATTTTTCTTTATATATTTAGGTTGTGGGTCATCTTCACATGATATATACTAGAATTTAATTCCTCAATGGCGGCCATATTGAATTTTATTTTGGCTCCACCATTACAGACCTAACAGATGGCAGTTATTGACAGAGAGCAACACCGTCGTCTTCACTGATGGAAGCTGGTTCTGTCTGTTTGGAGCTGATGGAAGACAGTGTGTTAACCGCTGAAGGTGAGAACGACGGGCGGCATGTTGCGTTCAGGAAGTTCGTGCTGTATGGTGGAGGGGATGTTATGGTGTGGGGAGGAATTTCTTTGCAGGAGAGAACACCATCGTCAACGGAAATATGACAGCTCAGCGTTACATGGCTGACCTTCTTCGTCCGCTTATCCTACCATTTCTACAACAGCTGACACATAGTGTCCTTTATCAGCATGACAACGCCAGACCCCATACAGACCGAATCGTACAGAATGTCCTTGCAGCCAACAACGTCAACGTTTTGCCGTGGCCTACACGCTCCCAACATGCTCTGGGGTCTCATGCATCTATCTTTCGTGGTTCTTAAACTTGAGTGATTTAAAACTATGGTGAAGTTTCTTTTGGACGTCAGTTTATAACCATACGAAATATAGCGTGATGTTATACAACGTGAAAGGTGAAAACTGAATTAAACGAAACTGGTCTTTTTGTTGATGAGCCCACACAAACCAGTGAATAAAATGCACATATGAACCAGTCGACGAGAATCAGAGGTTCGAATCCCACATTTACTATGATCATGACAGCTCAATACCTGCGCTCGCTGGTTTCAGCGAAGAGGCAAACATATATGACATGAATAACCTTCGATTCTCCTCTCCCCTCGCAGTTCAAAGAATGAAACCACTCTCACACTCTCTGTCACCACAGCTGATGTGTGATCCAGCCAATGTATCAAGTCTGTCAATGCATGCCTACCCCATTCGCTGAATCCTCTGTTAACGATGGTGACCGCCTCAACGTTAATGACCTTCTGCAGATCCACCCGCCACCACGGCAGTGGATGACTACTGGTTCCGGGGCTGTACGTACAAGATGAACCTTCGAAGTCAAGTTCTCCATTTCCGTCCACGGCTAGCCCTGGATCAGCTGAGAAGCCAATAGCACTCTGGACAGCAGGTTTTCCACTGGCAACGTTGTCAAGGCAATATGCTGAACAAAAGAGATTTTAGAACAGTACCTCGTGTCAACACTGAAACTCCGATATTTTAGACCGGTACTTCCTGCCAACACTAATGTAATTTTTAAAACACATTTTGATGTAAAGGGATTCCTCAGCTCAGACCTCACTGGGATGCATGAATATACAAATATGCACACACATTCAAACATGTTTTTGTTTGTCCATTGTGTCAAAAAGTTTGGTAAATCATGTTTTCTACAATGTTATTCACATTTTGAAAGCAAGGCCTCATCACGATGCCTTTTTGGTTGTCGTATTGCTTAATTCACATTGCATATCTTAGTTTAACCCTGTAGTGATGTCTAATACCTTTAATATACTCTATAGCCTAGATGGATGTTGGATTTTCACTTACGATTACGATTAAAAAGTAAGATTTTGATGAGATTTTGAAAAATGACATTTATATTGATATATAAATACAGTGCTGTCTATTTTATTGTTTTCTTTATGTGGTTTGTTTGGTTCTTATATGTTAAATTATGTAAGTCATTATTTCAACATACGAAACTGTCCTGTAATTGGAAAAGCTGTGGCATCCATGTAAGCGCTTTAAATGCAGTCAACATCATAGAATGTCCACAGAAAATCATTGGATTTCATTATTATGCACAGCGATACCAGATGGATGTAATGATCATGACAACATACACGACGTTGTCTTTCTAACCAACGACCTGCCAATATCAATGTATTGAGTCTGTTTCCGGCATACAAAAGACGTAGATGCAACCATGGTAAAAGGAAAAGATGAAGGACAAACGATACATTAATTTGGAAGATTTGTTACCTCTCCTTCAGGACCACACAAAATTAGAACAAGACCACTCTGCTCTGTATTGTTTGGTCTACAAACTTAAAGAGCCCACAGGCTTATATATCTCTAATTGCGAAATTAATTATTTCAACATTGGAAGGAGGTGTTTAAGCAGTCCAGCAAACACGTTCCTTTATGAAAGATTATTGTACGCCCAAAAGTAATTATAGGACTTACCACACACAGAAGGAAAATAGTGACGGATAAACACCAGTATTTGACAGCAAAACAGCGCTGAAACATGCATTCTTCCCTGCACCTTTCGTCATCAAACACAGACTGTTAAGGACAGTGCATTTTGTTTTGAATCTTCCAAGGTAACGCAGTCTTGTTATTGATGTGTAACTGGAAGCCATGCACTTGAGCAACACTATTTGTCTTTGTTTGACTGGATGGGTTTTATACAACATGTTAAATGTTTATTAAATTCCATTGTGATAACGACTGTTTGCATCGGTCCGCGTGTGTTTTGGCAATAAAGTGATATTCAACGAATGTAGTACTTAATCAATACGATTTCACTTGCGTGTTTGGCGAAATGGGTCTTATACAACATGGTCAATATTTATTTAAGTCCTATACTTTTCAAGGCATGTAACGAGTTGTTTATTCAGGACCAGATTCGATGTACGTTTCTCGTGCTTCGATAACTACCTTCCTGAGAAATAGAAGTCTTAGTAGCTATTGTTTAATGAGCAGCACTGACAAAATTGCATACGTCATGAGTTGTTTGACTAATACAGCCCGACATGGAGGGACAAATACACTTAAACTTGGACTATAAATTATTAGACGTTTAGAATTATATTTCCCACATGCCCTTGAAGCAACAGTAGGCAAGGGAGATAGTGTACTTCTGCACATGGCAGCTTCCCTTCCTGACCACGGTGATATACATTATGTACAACGATGATTTCCTAAAGAGGTAAACAATCCTCGCTTGTCATACAAAGCGAGTCATTATGAATCGTGACTATGAATGATTAGACATTTAGAACATTTCCATATGCCCTTGAAGGACAGTTAGTTTACTGCAATGGGTGTACCATCAACTACTAGTAGGCTAGACGACAGAGATAAGACGACATTGAATAACAAATCCTTTATTAAAACGAAATATTCTGTCACATTTATTGTGCCAATGGCTTATTGATGTCTTCCGGGATGGTGAATCGCGAGTCTGGGGATTTATTTGCACGATACAGCAAGTCAGAGGCGGATAATGATACATCTTCATTTCTCTAGTGCCTTTGCTTGCACATTAATACTAGTTGGAGACGGGTACTGTATATTAATTTAGTCACAGGTGTAATTCTATAAGACGAAAGTAGATTAGCCTGTTGTGCTAAAAGTACATTACAACATTACGCATTGTATGTGATTATCAGTATACACCAAGATTTCCAAAATGCATATTAGATTGATCACACAAAACATCTACAAGACCCCACATGGTGTCGTTAAGCAGTTGTATACCACATATATCCGTGTACATGTGTATCTGGCGTGAACATCTAGTAAACGTTGCTGTGAGCCATGATACAGATATCACGTCGGTGCCTTGACAAAATTATTTATTCTTTGAGTAAATTGATTGAACGTTTTACAGTTTGTTGCTACCATAAAAAGATCACATTAATTAATTTACCAATATAGCTGAAAAGATGGTTTCAATATGGTCATACTTACAAAATATAAATATTGAATATCATGCCGAAATATTTTCACAATTTACGACAAATATCACAGATGTTCAATGTCAATTTTGAACATGTGTATCGTTAAGCAGCCAAATGAAGACCATAATCTAAGGCAGGAGAGAGGAACCATCATCAGCTCGGCGGTCAGATGGTGGTGGACATAGACAGCCTCTTGTGGTTCGAGGCCATGGCTCAGTGACTTCGTGGAATATCGTGAAACATTTCATGATGAGAACCTGTCTGCAATCGTTCAATATTCTACCATGACATTGAAGAATGCTTGAATCTGATTGGTTAAAAAGAGATGTCCTTTATTTTGCTATGGGAAACCCCTTTTAAATATATGAAGCCTGTTCGCACAAGAAACGTGCTCATGAATACATCGATAGCCTACATATCGATTCATAAGAAATGGCTGACAATCGACCACCCGTAAGAACTGTAAAACGTATCGATATTTGCTCTATTACATGCTTGGTCGCTACTACAAGCCAGGTCTTTAATGCATGCCGGGTCAACGGCTCTCGCGAACTTAATAGTCTAATAGAGGATATACGGTAGTTTGGCGTCGGATGTTTTGGGCGATGATAAGGCCGTAACCCGGACTGATTCGATGATGAGAATACAAAAATCAACGAAGGCATATCTTTTGCATACAAATGTTTATGAAACTTCGAAGCGAACAAACTCGCGATCGGAACAGGCAATTTCGTCATTGAAACAACCGACAGTGAAAGTAAATTATAACATTATAAAAATGTGTTTGAAGAAACTTTATTCATGACAACATGTTGTTTACAAACCTTAATGTGTTTGATATTCATTGCCATCTCCGTCAACAACCAGCCAAGGGATTTGGCAGGAGGGGATTTGCAAGTCCATCAGGAAAGCCTCATCCCTTCGATAGGCCGAATTACTGGCTTTGAATCAATAAAATCTTGAAATTGACAGGTCAAATTTTGCAGACTCCTCGTGTCAACATAGCCGAAAAGCATGAAAAGCGGCTGTTAATTCATATTCCAGTTCCATTGGTAATCACATTGTACCGGTGGTCTCATTCCCAGTAAATCTACAGGTACGTTTTGAACCACATCATAGATCGGGGTTGACATCTTGCTTCGTGCAACTTGTCTGAGGCAATGTAAACAACAGCATTGTCAGCCATATTGACAGTTGTGAGGTATGAGTAACCGTGATGTAGATCAAGTTCTGCCGCATCCAAGTTCGGGGTGGAGAGGCATTTATTTTGATAATTTTTTTTTATTATTTTCTGGGAGTAATTGCTAACTAACTAATAAGACTTACACGTGTAAAAAAAATAGTAGAAGAATAACTCTTAAAGTTTGTTGGAGAAATATATTCGTTTAGCATTCTTAAAACTATTTCTTCAACCTGTTGCCCCTACAACGGGAAATGGCATATTCGATTTCCAAGAAATTATTTCGTGAGTCCAAACAATGCACAGAAGGTTGCGATGAAATTAAAACATCTGTCTTTGGACTAAGTTTGGAGGGTTATTTGTAAACTTCTTTTTGAAAGAACTATGTGTTTTCACTTATTTTGAACTACTCAAGAATGTAGATATTTTAATGTTGAAATTAAGTAATATTTGTCACATATATTACTACCTGTGACCACTTTTCGGAATGTTCTAAGATTGCGGACCTTTTTACCCCGTGTTGTAACGCGTTGCAAGAGAGCACCGGTTTCAAAACGCTGTTGCCGTCATGGTAGAATGGAGATAAACCTACTGTGTTGTGAAAGTTGATGTAGTCCCACTGTAGAATAGATACCTCTTATTTATACATTTGAAATTACAAATTGAAATCAGAGGTATCTAATTTACAGTGGGACTACATCAAATTTCAAAACAAAGTAGGTTTATCTCCGAAACAGTTACGTTGCTTTTGATTAGGTTATGACCAGGACACAATGCATTTCGTATTACCACCATCATCTTTCTGTGTTCGTGCTAACACAAAATTCAATTTTAACTGTTTAAATATAAATAGGTTCACTAACAACTTTGAACAAATATCTGTATGTTGCACTGCAGAAGCTGTAATGTCAGCGAAAATAGAGTTAACTTATTATTTCAATGTCACGTGTCGGTACAGGTGCTAGTACCTTAATGAAACAAGCGATGCACAAATGGATTTGGGCATGGTTCTATAGCGATGATTACACACAGGTTAGTGACAAAATTATCGTGAAAAATGATGGTAGCAAACAGCAGCATTCACTATACGCCTCAAATAAGTCGTTGGAACTGAAACTTTATACGGATATTGTTATATGGCAGTGTAATGCAGTACAACAACAATGTTGTAATTGTAATATATGGCTTCTGTTAAGATTCAGTAGAATCAAAGTGGGCAATGGCACGCCTCTCTCATCTAACATTACATCGAGACCAGCGGTTGTGGGAAGATATCCAGCCCAGGCCTATTTTGGAAGCTTGAACACTTTGCTTCTCGGTGAATATTATTATCACTGACTTTATTGGTTTTACCACTGCTATTATATTTTATACTGCCATTGTAATTGTTCTGCCATTGAGTTTTATACTGCCACTCTTTTTTGTACTGCCATTGTAATCACTGTGCAGTAATTTGTATTGATTTTTAAACCTAGTCGATTTTATAATACAATTGTTAATTGTATAACATGTCTTTGTTGTTTGTTGGTTTCACACTGAATCAGATTTCTGGGTTAACTTATTGCTTCGATTTGGAACTGGACAATATGAGGACGTGCATTTTTTCGTTTAGTTGTAAATTTGAGGGGGAAAAAACATATCAATTAAATTTATACAATTACGATCGAAAAATATTCTACGCTCATATATAATAACAGCATTTAAATGAGTTTTGCTGTTTCCTGAACATTGCACAGCACATTAGATGAGAAGAATTCATAATGCACACAGGCTTCATTCCAACCACCTTTCCGATCTGGCACACGGTCGATTTGAATCATGAATCAATATACCTATTAGATCAACTCATCGGGAATCTGGACAAGGAGATTGGTCTCCAGCAACCTATACAACCTATTGTCATTCTTAGTTCATGTGGCTGACAGTGTATATTTCGATGATTGTGTATGATTTCATATACATGTCACGTGAAAATGAATATTTGAATGCATGTTTCAAATTATCATCCGTGTAATATGTTTTCTAGCTAATCACATCTTCCGTCTTCTCTGCTACCGAACGCCCCTTTTAAATCGTTATGTAATTAGTTGAACACCCATGTGGATTCCGCGTAGAATGTAGGCCCAGAGCAACCTCCGTATGCCGGTCGTCTGAGGCAACTACATCGTGTGGTCAGGCTCGGTGACTTCGTTGATTGCATGTCATTTTATCCCAATTACGTGGATCGATATTCCCGATGTCAATCACTTAATTTAGGTTTCAGATTCAATTATTTAAGGATCCATGTCTTATAACTAGACAATTGCTGAGTGAGGAGTTAAACAACTAACAAACAAACAATTAATTAGTTGAAACAAATACATGAAATGAGTTGAAACATTCACATCCTAGGTTTCTGTTGTTGGTCCGGAACTTCATCTGTTCAATAAGGTTGTTATGTTACTGGCAGTGATGACCATACACAGCTGACTTGTATGTTTGCAAGGACATATCTCAAAAGCATTGATTAATCACCTTGCCAATTGCACATGGTATGCCAGGGATGAACAGCCATACATCAGTTCTTAAACGTATTGTTCTTGAGTTTCGGAACACATGGCCTTGTAATATGTCTATCCCGATTTGCCGTAAAGTTTTGCCAGTGATACAGACACAAACTCACATGTTCCATTGTCATTACTGCTATCCAGGATATTAAAGTTAAAACCATCACATGCCCACATCATCGTACATTCAATCATGCAGGTCTTCAAGCTGCCGATGATTTCATGCCTGGGTCTGGTCGTGTGATACATCTCTGTGAAGGGCACAAAGGTGGACGGGGACCTCTGACTGAAGCTGCAGTTATTTTCTGAAAGTGTCAAAGAAATATTTTCATGTGAAACGCATCAGATAATTTGACAAGAGTGTGAGAGTTTGGGAATAGAATGAGTAAAATCCACACACCTATGTCATACCTGTTATACTATCCATACTTATTATCTGTAGTTAAAAATAATGTCTTCTATATTGCAAACCGTGTCGACAAATGTCAATTATTAACATAACTTAACTTAAGTTATAGCTTTAATATGTTTGGTACTTGATACTTGAGATGTTACAATATAGAAACATAGTACAGTATAACTACATAAAGGTTAATTTAGTTTCAACAAAATCAGTAAATGCGCTATCCTTTGACCGGATTTCTGGTCCATAATTTGACCAGATTTTGGTCCTGGTTTGTTTGCATTCCTGGCAGGAGTACTGCTGTGTGTCGTCAGGCAACAAATACATACGTTTTTATGCAAATCGTATGAGTGTGTGGCGGTGCTACCGCCAGGACAGGACATGCTTACCCTTTTCAAGAGCAACTGGTGTCATCACTATTTTTCAGTGATCTACGTATATAATTTTCACTGCTATTTTGCCTGTCACGTCCAATGAAATCTGTGTTATCGGATAATCGAGAGGTGTTAGATTCCGGCGTTGACGTTTAATATATTAATAACTATCAAATGGTAATTTAATTTTTCTTTTCTAATATGTGCATTCTAAAATTTGCGTCATCTCAATATCAGTGACATCTGATTTTAGCAGAAATCAAGTCTAAGTAAATCGTTTATGAGATTGTTAAAATGCCAACTAAATAAATCAAATAAGTACAGTTTGCTACTTCTGTTAAATTTCCTTTGGTGTCTTGACCTAATATTTCCACGGAAATGGAAAGGCCGGTTGACAGCGTCAACGTTATGCTATATGTTTTATAGTTATTAAAGTATTAAAGTTACAATACTTCATAACAATGATTCGTTGCCCGAACAATTGCTATTCCGAACAATTAACAAGGTTCAACTATAAAACATTCAGAATATTGTTTTGCTGACCATATATCTTTGGGTGAACAGCCACTTCACACAGAGTTAGCCTGTCGTCACCATTCAGATGCCTCTTCTTTATCCGGACATAGCGCCCCTCAACGGGATACATGCATCTAAGAGTTTCAGTAACTGCACTCCCAAATTCCCCAAAGAAGGAATAACACATCTGACCATTTGCTTCAGGGTTTACAACTGGATCAGCTGAGAATGTTTAAATGTCGAAGTCGTGAAGACGCCAGTCTGAAACCAAAATATTGTGTAAGAAATGTGTATTTGTATTTTTACGAGACAATTGCGAAACTGAGCATCGCAATCTAGCTGCAAATAAGGATAAGTATGATTATGATGTCAAACATGGTGTATTCAGCAACAACACTCGACTTCAATCGGTTAAAGGTGAAGTGAAGTGAAACAGAAATTGGAATTGCCTTACTAGTCTGATATATACGCAAAAGGAAAAAGCACAAAGGCTTGATATTTGTGCAAAGCTCCCAAAAGCAATACAGACGTATCTGAGCGTCGCTCTTCAAGCCATGTATTGGAAACAACCGATACAACCAACTTGAATTTCTGCTAGGTTAGTGCAAAACTTAACGTTTTCATATCCTGATAAGTACGAATGTATATGCCACTTTATATGAGCAGTGACGTTCAGTAAGCGAACCCTGTGGGCATTTGAATACTACTAATATATAATTAAAAACGACAAAACCCTTTCCATAATCATAAATATAACGACAAAACCCTTTCCATATTCGTAAGAGATCTCTGCCAAACGCAGAGTCGATTGTACAATTCCGACTATATCATTACATGTTTTTATGAATCACTATGAAATAGTGATGAACCAGGTGTTCACGAAAAGGTAAGCGTATCCTGTGCCGTCGGTGACACCCGTCACAAACACATGCAAAGTCAAGTCAATTAGATAATTGCATTTGACACCATTTTTGTCACTGGTGCGTCAAACTGGGAAATGTCCTCCACATGTCTTGTTTTGGAAATCGCAAAATGCAAAAAGCACCATGAATATTGAACAGCCGATGAGATAAGCACCGGAAATAAACATCAATATCATATAATTTTTTTAATTTGAAGTTTACACGATATACGGCTTTTCAGTTGGACGAGAGGTCAGTCACCTGACCGCGAAATTGAAGTTCATAAGTGTAAGAACGACACAATTTGACGTTCAGACGTTTTTAACGAGACCGTCTTCTTGAAATGACGTTAACACTGACGGACTACTTATACATTCCTGCACAAATACATACAGAAGCGTTCTTTCTGATAATTGAGACCCTTTAATCTTGAACTCAGCCTTTGAGTATACAGTGAGAAACGTCAGAGTTTGACTGCACGATCGTTCACGAATATCCTCGCCATGACCCATCTTAGTGAACAAGAAGAAGAAATGCACATCCAAACTATGGTAGTATCGACTCGGTCCGTGTCTAGGCTGGTAGTGACTGTCTACAGCAATTTACGACTTTACCTTAGTGTCTGTTTGACACATCTTTAATCGCCTTTCAATGATCGACCAATCGATCAATGATAACTAAAAGATGTTCATGGGTTCATTAGCAACTCCCGAAATCTCCCCCGTCACTTGTCGGCCATTTTGACGTCTTGTACTTGATGTAAATGTATAACGACGCGCTGTCATTGTGACTGACTTTCTGAGGTAGATCTGAACAGACCTTTCTCATCTAATGGTTTGTTTGTTTGTTTGTTGTTTAACGCCGCACTCAGCATTATTCCGTCTATATGACGACGGCCTGCCAATAATCCGAGTCTGGACCAGACAATCCAGTGATTGACATCATGAGCATCGATCCACGCAAATGGGATCGATGACATGCATCAAGCAAGTCAGCGAGCCTGACTACCCGATCCCGTTAGTCGCCTCTTACGACAAGCATAGTCGCCTTTTAGGGCAAGCATGGGTTGCTGAAGACCTATTCTACCCCGGATCTTCAAGGGGCCTCATCTAATGGTGACGTTATTTGTATACATGTGTTGCTGATCTTTCTGAAGAGCAAGTTGTGTACCCATAAGCTCATGTGACCTCTCCTTTTGGGGAACTATTTTATTCCGCGATATAGCTGGTTGTTGTATGGCTATGAGTGTAAACATGAAGTCACATATATTAAATAAATTGTGTATAGATTTTGGCCTACATCCTGCGAGGTAGGAAATTGTGATGAAAAATTATAAGAATTGACTTTCACCTTGTGTGAGGTCATTGGAGTATGAACCATCATTGATTGAGAGCCAAACTGTATGAACGTCGGAGCTTGCGGAGTGAAAGTCAATTCTTAATTGAACAAGTACATGTATGTATACTCAATTCAGTTTATTCATACGTAACTGTAAGGCCACAGACCTATAGTACAGAATACATGACAATGTGGAAGCAGTTAAATATGTTACAAGGATCCATTTCGTAATAACATGGCATGACATATAAATATAGATGTGATATTACAGAGAAAAACTTGTATTAATTTAAATTTGGATGTACATGGTATTTCTTTCAATAGATAATCATATTTACAACAAACAAGTAAAAAGGGAATTCAACTTTGACGACAAATAAGGAACAATGTCAGCATAATCTTAAAAATGTCTGCCAACTTCAACCATTAGCCTCTGTGAGCTGCATCTAAATTGTGCTAAAAACATTCTGCATTTTCTTACATTTACATCAGTTGAATAATTTTCCGCGCATATGTGCATTTTAGAATATCTATATTATTCACATTTGCTAGAAATGCATTATAAAATATCCATAGTATTCACATTTGATAGAAGCATCTACAGTAAATCTCCATGTTTGAAAGTACATGTCAAAAAGTGTCTGCCTTATTTTCAATATGAACATGGCATGATTCTCCCAAACGTAACCATACCCACATTTAAACAGTAGACATTTAACATTTGAACTCCATATTTTTTCATACAATAAAATCATATGACATTTTTTTGTAATCTTCTTTATAGCATTTTTAATAATCTTAACCAATATGCTGATTATGTAGTGCATTACGCATAATTATGTCGGTTCGATAATAATTTCCTTGAAACTATAACGACAAGATATTTATAAGAGCTTTCAGGTTGAAGTAAATATCCCCGAAAGTACCACTTTTCATTCTTTGACAGCGTATTGCCTTTGCTAAATACAACAATACTTGTCTTATCGAAATTAACATTAAATTTCCACTATCACAGTACCATTCTAGCTGATTTATCAAAGTTTGTTTACCCTTTACAGTACTTGAGGACATGATTGTAGCATCTGCAAATAGTAACATAAATAAAAAAAATATAAGTTCAGGATGTAATTGTATACCATTATCATAACTTCTTATGATTTGGACAGCAAGCTCATTAATAAAACACGAAACAAAAAAGGGCTTAATACACATCCTTGGCGTACACTTGTATGGCAGATAAAAGGGTATGAATACATGGCGTTTTGTTTTCCTTATAAATACTACATAACAATTTGCCCATTTTATTACTGACACCATTTCAAATAAATAGATACCATAACCTGTGTCTACAGTGTGAATCGAATACATTTAGGAATGTCTACAAATAAAGCGTACATGTTTACGTATATATACCTGTCTATAAGAGTCTGGAGGATAAACATGTTATCGGTGGCAGAGTGACCTCGTCGGAAACCTGCTTGCTTTCTCTCGATCTTATGTGTATCCGAACACAATACCAAGCGTTCATTAATAATGCTAATAAATATCTTACTGAAAATATACTAGCAGTCTGAAACTAAAGAAACATTTTCATGTTAGTGACAATGTTCGATCAGGTCGACACTGAGCCCCTAGACACTCGAAAATACATACAGTCGACTAGTGTAGTGAAAACAAAATACATTTTAACCCCAGAAGCGATTTTTGAACGTGAGGGATATAAGTTTCTCTTCATAAAAATACGAAATATATCGAAATGTTATACAATGTAGAATTTAAATACTCACCAAATTGGCTGAATCCTCTGTTAACGACGGTGACCGCCTCAATGTTTACCACCTTCTGCAGATCAACCCGCCACCACGGCAGTGGATGAGTACTGGTTCCAGGGCTGTATGTACAAGATGCACCTCCCCAGTCAAGTTCTCCATTTCCGTCCACGGCTCGCCCCGGAACAGCTGAGAACCTAATAGAACTCTGGACAGCAGGTTTTCCGCTGGCAACGTTGTCAAGGCAATATGCTAGGTTAAAGAGAAGAACTTTTAGACTAGTACTTCCTATCAACATTACTATTATTATTAAAACATTTTTTATCAAAGTTGGAGTGTAATAGGGTCACATATGAAGTTCAGCCCAATAAATGACATCAATCACTGGGATGCATGCATATCAGAATAAGCACACACATTCAAACATGTATAAGTTTGTTACATGTCTCATTAGGTTTGGTAAATCACGTTCTCAACAAAGATCTTCACAATCTCACAAGGTTAAACATAGCTTTCGTCAAACTGCATATCTTAGTTTACGATGTAGTGATAGTCTAGATGGTTGTTGGATTCCTACTTATGATAACATTCTATTGACTGATTGTCAGATCTTCATACACAGAGATAGCGTATCGAAGTACAATGTCTGATTTTGATGAGATTTTGAAAAAAGGACATATATACTGAACCGCAAAAGAAACGTCACCATGGATAGATATATGAGAAACCTTATTTGTCCAAACAATGTAAACAGACTTTGAGACATATTAAAAAGATGACACTTGGCAAACCGATCATCAAGTTTGCAATTAAAGTGTCAAATGTTCTTAAAGTGAAACACAACACTAGTCTCTGAAAAAAATGGTATCACAAGTCAGTATCTCGTGTGTCCGCCATGTGCATTGATGACTGCCGTGCAACGTCGATACGTGGAATGGATGAGGCGGTTGATGGAGGCCATAGGCACTTGAGCCCACACTCTGAGGAACGCCTGACGCAGTTCAGCTGCAGTTGTCGGCCTTGGCCGGACGTCATTCGGCCGTCTTTGAATCTCGTCCCACAGGTGCTCAATGGGATTTAAATCGGGACTGAAGGTAGGCCACTGCATGGTTCTGATGCCGTTCTGCTGGAGGAAGTCTCTTGTTGCTCTCGCAGTGTGGGCACGGGCGTTATCATGCTGAAACTCGTGGTTGCGGCGACGTGCCAAATGAGATATGGCGTGTGGTCTCAAGACTTGATCAATGTACCGAGCTGCTGTGACACAATTGCCTCTCTCTGGACCGATGTTCTTGAAGACCACAGGGCCGACCCTCTGTGCAAGACCAATGCCACCCCACACCATGATGCTCGGACCAACCCACGAGTCTCTCTCAACAACACAAGCATCCGAATAACGTTCCCCAAGGCGTCGCCAGACGCTCTCTTTCTGCCATCTACTTTTGAGATACAGTAACGGCTCTCGTCTCAGAAGAGGACTCACGGCTGGTTGCGCCAATGCTGATGCTGTGTTGTCCAATGAAGACGGCCCCGGCGATGATGTGGTGTCAGAATGGGTCCTCGGTGTGGCCTGTGACAGTTGAGGTGTCTGCTCGTCAATCGTCGACGCACGGTGTCCGCACTAATGTGTCCCCATGGTCTGTCGAGCTCTTTCCGCAGCAGTAACAAAGCGATCATGAAGATGCTGTCGCACAATCTGACGATCCTGACGTCGGGTGGTGACCCTAGATCTTCCACTACGTGGTCGGTCATCTGTAGTGTTGGTGGTCTGGTACCGTTGCTGGAGCCTGTATATGGTTCTAACGTGGACTTGAAATGCATGGGCTACTTCCCGAGAGGTTTGTCCAGCTTGCAATCGTCCAAGAGCTTGGTGTCGCTGATTTCTTGTCAATCTTGGCATGCGGTAGCAATTCAATAACGAATGAGTGTTACCCGATCTGGGTGGATTTTTATGGGGCAAGAAATGGGGGAACACATGTGCATTTCAATTTGCACGGACCTCACGTGCATCGGGTTACCATGGCCGTTGCAGTGATGCGTTTGGGCGATCGGTTTTATTGTCATCAAATTTCACTTTTCCTGACAAGGTAATGTTAAATTTTAGAAACTTTGACAAAAAGTACCCAGATATTTAAATGACAACTTTACATGCAATGTTACATTGGGTAACGTTTTTGTTGTGGTTCAGTGTATATTGATTAGTTAATATAAGATAGCTGCGCATTAACTCGCAAAGAAGAATGAAGAAAAATGCGTGGTTTATTTCACGATGAAACATTGTTCTATCATGATGTCATTTCTGGAGATTCGAGCATGCCCTCAAAATTTGATGACGTCGTACATTGGACGACCCTACTTTTGGGAGGGAAGTGTGTCTTGTGAGTTGTTCCCAATATATGTAGCTGTGGAACGTAGATAAACGCAATGGCTAGACGATGGCATCCAAAACTGGGAGAAAAATGACAACCAATATAGGGATAAAAGGTACAGATACTTGATACTCGACGTGAAAATTGGGAGAAAATCGGACAAATACCAAACTACCTCAACCACCAACGACCTACCAATGTCAATATATTGAGTCTGTTTCCAGCATACAAAAGACGTAGATGCAACCATGGTTTCAAGAAAGAATGAAGGACAGATGATACGATACTTTGGAAGATGTGCTGCCTCTCCTTCAGGAACCAGTGGGACTACATAAAGTAAAAACAAGACTAGTATACTCTGTATTGTTAAAATAAATCAACGACTCCAGGAACCTTTGCAGATAAATGGGCCTACAAAAAGAAAGGCTTACACATATTTAATTGCGTACTTAATCATTGCAACATTGGAAGGAGGTGTTTAAGCAGTCCAGCAAACACGTTTTTTTATGAAAGATTATTGTACGCCCAAAAGTAATTATAGGACTTACCACACACAGAAGGAAAATAGTGAAGGACGAACACCAGCATTTGAAAGCAAAACAGCGCTGAAACATGCATCCTCCCCTACACCGATATCAACCCACACAGGCTGATAAAGACAGCGCGTCTTGTTTTGACTCCTCTTCCATGGTATCGCAGCCTTGTTATTGATAGGTTATTGGAAGCCATATAAATACATAACTTGACCAGTACTAGTGTCCTTTTGTAATTGGCTGAATTGTATCAATTTTCAGGACCAGAATCGATGTACGTGTTGTGTACGTAAGTAGTTACTGTTAATAGGCATCACTAACACAATTGTTTAGGTCATCATTTGTATGTCTAACGAAGTCCGAAATTGAGGGCCAAATACACTCGACTAAAACTATGCCTATAAATGATTAGACATTTAGAATATTTGCCATATGCCCTTGAAGGAAGGTAACTTTGCTGTCATGTTATCATCAACAGTAGGCAAAGGGGATAGTGTACTTCTGCACATGGCAGTTTCCCATCCGGACCACGGTGATATAGATTATATACAACGATGAATTCCCAAGGTAAACAATCCTCGCTTGTCATACAAAGCGTGTCATTATGAATCGTTTATACCTGGTGGCATCCTTATATATTGTCAGTAACAGAAAATACTGGGGTTCAAGATGTCGAAGGATCATTAAAATATATGAGGTGGATCATCTTAACTATGAGATGTAAGGTAAAAATCAATGACACAATCGACAAAGAGTTATTGTTATATTTGTTTTTTTTTGGTCTGTTTTGCGCGACTATCAACACTATTGTAAGTATACGAAGGCGGCATGTAGGTAATGTCTGTGGTTGAGATGGGCAGCGCCCAACGCCATCTGGGTATGGTTACACGAAATTTTACAAGTTACCTTTACCTAACTTCATCTGTAACAAGGCCATAAACTGACCAGATCGCCTCCGTTGTTAGTGACAGAGAGCGGAAGGTCCGGTGTTCGATCCCCGGCCGCATCATAGCAAAAGATGTTAAAAGATGGTACTTGTTGTTACCCTGTCTGGCGCTCGGCATTAAGGGGCTAAAACAAGGACTGGTCAGCTCGGAGTCAGTATACTCTGTCTGAGTGGGATATGCATGTTAAACTGTGGCATGGTATCTCAGTGAGCTAGCACTATAAATCGGCATTAGTCCGCACTAGTACAAGCAGCCACACACACACACAAACACGCACACACGCACACACACACACACACACACACATACACACACACACACACACACACACACACGTGCATGCACGTCGCTATCTAAGTGCAATAATCTTAGATGCGAAGTTATACCCAATGTCACCTCACATAAACTCTGCATAGGGTACAATGCATAAGAGACATGTCTTTCTGTAGATCAAGCTGATGTGGCCATGGAAAGTGACGGTGGTCCCGGGATCGTGTACAACCGTATTATGGTATATCTTAATTTCTCTGGTGCCTTTGTTTGCACATTGATATCAGTCGCAGGCGTATAGTAATCTTTGTGTATTTAGTCATAGGTGTAATTCTACATGACGAAAGTTACTTAGTTCGTTGAGCTAAAAGTACATACAACATTACGCACAGTACGTTATTGTAAGTTTACCCCGATATTTCACAAATGCATAGATTGATCTCACATAATAAAACTACAATAGATCAAAACGAATATTCGTGAATGCTCAATAAATGATGTTAAACCACTTATTTGTGATATTTTGCCAATTTTAACGATTGTAAAGATTCGGGTAAAAGTGATAAATCGTTCATTGTGAAATATTCCAACAGGACAAACAAACAAAGATACCACGTGCTGTCGTTAAGCAGTTGTTTGCCACGGATATCCATGTACATGTGTATCTGGTGAGTCATGATACAGATATTACGTCGGTGCCTTGACAACAAAATTACTTATTCATTAAGGAAATCGATTGAATATTTTACAGTTTGTTGCAACCATAAAGATATCATATTAAATAATCAATAGATGCAGCTGAAAGAAGGTTTAATATGGACATACTTGCAAACATTTACATCAATGTAACTTCGACCAATTACATTGTAAGTATGGCATAATAAAGTTATAGAAGCAATCAGGTGGTAGGAATGGTACTCACCATGTGCAAATACATCTATACAAACACAAAGACAACGATAAGTGTAACGATATGGACAAGAAAAAGCAGTATGTAGACCTAATTATACAAGACGTTCAAGTTTAAAGCATAACAATTATATATCAATAACGTTCACAAAAATTGTAACTAAATCTCAAAGTCTATAAATGCCCAAAGTCACTTGGGTGTAGAAGAGTCTTGCTTCCCGTTGATGAATGTGTCGCATCTTGGCACTCAGTAGGGTGACTGGGCACATGAAC